AGATAGGAGATGAAGCCAATATTTTTATCTCGTCCCACTCGCCATTATAGCACGAAAAAATTTAATCATCGGTTTTGGAAAATATTGTTCCGTTGTTAAGAAAATTAATTTTTTTGAGACAGATAGCAAAACACAAGGAAATCCACTTCTATTTTGCAGTTTCCATCGTCAAGCTTCCATTTTCCCCCGAAACCAATGCCATATTTGGAATCAGCAACAAAAAATGAATTGATTGACATGCTTTTTGACAATATTCAAAAAATATAAAGTGCTCCTCTTTTGAGTTTCCTTAACCTTACTCATTTTCCGTAGAACCTCTTGCTTTCTCCCTGTGACGTACATGAGTGGTGAAATCACATGGAAATGTAGCTTATTGACCCTCCTGATCATCGTGGTGATGTCTGTTTCGTCATCAAATAGAAATTTAGGCTGGATCATAAAATCGTTTTTTGCGATCCACTAATCAGACAGTTCAACTTTTAGATCATTACTCGTTTTTAAATGAATTTTCGGGATAAAATGGTATTAATACTTATTTATATTGTTATTATCGTCGCTACGTTCTTAGCTATATTTGAAAACGTCTGGGAATTTACTTGAGTTTAGATGAAACTATGTGAATTTTAGTTAATTTGAGTGAATTCAGGTGAATTGTAAATTTATTTGAATTTAACTGACTAAATTCAGTTGTTTTCCACTTGCAATTAGTTCAAATAAATTTCAATTAACGAATTTTTATTTTAAATTTGACCAATAATCCGACATCGTAAAAAGTTTAACACAATCATCTTGTTCGTAACAGCATAGTATTAAATAAATTTACATAGATACATGTATGTATTCTCTAAAGTACACATGTGTACTTTAGAAAATGTGTACTGTATTTAGTAGACACATTTTCATTCCAGGTTACACTTTTTATGACAGAAACGTATGCTGACGGTTTTCGTTTTGTGGGAAAATATTCAACAACAATTTCAGAAAATTTTCAATTCAAACGACTAACTACTTCATTAACTATACGTAGTTCTGTAGCCGATTTACTTATGTTTAATCCCAGTGAAGCTTAGTCTCTTGTAGTGTACATGGTACAAGCCAACAACTCAAAATGCCGTTATCACATACTTTTTAAGGCAGATCCTAAATGACTGTTCGCCGTTTAGCGTAGCGAGTTTTTTACTGATGGAAGAAAACTGCATAAAAAACTCTTATCCGTTTTAAACAGCCTAAACATTCTAGTAGAAGGATATGCAAATTGGGAGGCAAGCGAGGGTACTGGAGATGAGAACATATTTGTATTTCTTATCTGATCAAGGTAAGCGGTAAATAAACGTCACCGGCACTTTTTGCGGCTACATAGCTCGTTGACAAAAATGACGAATGGAGCAATCAGAGTTTAATATATAATTTTTCCTTTCCCTTCCTTCATACTTCAAGGAATACCACTTTTGTTTTTTCTTCTCTTTGATCTTACTCTTCTTTCGTTCTGATCTACACAAAAAACTGAGTATATTTTACCTTAACAAATTAATATTTTTCAAACTAACTGGAGCTAATGTTAGCCTAGAAATCAGTTTTAGACCATTTAACTTCCGAAATTGACGTACATTAATTTATTAAAAATGAATCTGAATTAATTTTGGCCACTTAAATTGATGTGAAATAATTTATAAAGGGGAAGAAATTAATTCGAAATTATTTAAAAGTGCCAATGGGTATCTCAAAAACTAAAAGGGATTCTTCTCTTGAAAACAGATCCGCATCGTATACAACCCGTATATAAGAATAAAACGTGGAAATAGGTACTCTCTACTTGTTTCAATTTTAAAATCAAGAACAGCTCAATATGGGATAGATTCACAGTGAGCACTGCTTCTTCCAAACACAGAATAATTGAACATCTCTGTTTTTTTCTTTAAAATGGAAAATAATACGCTACACACATACATACGAATAAATAAGAAAAATATATATCAGACGGGACAAAATAGCATTAAAGAAAAGAAAAATGGATGCAACATGATTAATATTAAAAACGGGCAAACACTGAAATGTTAAACCACACATTCATTTTCTCATTCTTTTTCTCTCCATTTTTGTAGACGAGTAGCTTTTTTTTCTAGTCTGTATATAACGATTATATACTTGCATTTATGCCTTTTTCTTTGAACAAAAAAGCTGCATATATGATGCAATAAGGAAAATATTATATTTGATTGTTTTGACATTAGTGAAAAATGAAGAGAACAGAAAAAAAAGAAGAAAATATGTAATAATGATGACATTGTAAAAAATTATATATATATATAGTAGAATATTTGCAAGAGCTTTCTGTCAGTTTTCCTAGTACGTAAGAAATTTAAAACACAGAACTTTAACAATTACTTTAGTTATATTGTCATGTCAACTTATAAATTATACTATTTTAACGGTCGTGGACGAGCAGAAATAATACGTTTAATCTTCGCTCAAGCTGGTCAAAAATACGAAGATATTCGTTATGAGCATGCCGACTGGCCCTCTCACAAAAATGAAATGCCATTGGGACAAATGCCCGTCCTAGAAGTCGATGGACAAAAAATTCCACACTCAATGACAATTGCCCGTTTCGTTGCCAAACAATTTAATTTAGCTGGTAAAGATAATTTAGAACAAGCCAAAGTTGATAGTGTTATTGATACAATCGTTGATTTAATGGAAATATTTGTGAAAATAGTACGCCATGAAAAAGATGAAAGTAAAAAAGAAGAAGGAAAAAAACAATTTTTCAAAGATGATGTACCAAAATCATTTGCAAATTTAGAAAAATTATTAACAACCTATGGGAAAAATGGTCCATTCTTTCTAGGTGATCAATTGACATTTGCTGATATAGAATTTTATGATGGGGCGTCGATTTTATTATCCATGGATGCCAGTGTATTAGACAAATACCCAAAATTAAAACGTAATTATGATGAAGTTGAAAAACAGCCAAAAATAGCCGCTTATCTTAAGTCTCGTCCACAAACACAATTTTAATTGATGATCATGCGCACAGATGTGTTTCTTTGATCTGAAGAAGATCAAAAAACCCGTCAAGAGCCAATTCAAAGCTCGTACTATACATTACGTATCGTGGTAGAATAGTTTGAAAAGCACAAAATCGGCTGCCGCTCTCTGAAACATTTTTTAAAACCAACTGGAGAGCCGAATATTTTCTTTATGTTTTAAATTTTAAATTTATTGTTTTCTCCGGATACTAAAATAAAAGTTAAGCAGAACAGGCTAATCATTCTCATGTGTCGGTTGAACAGAAGGGAGAATTTGACTAAAACTTGCACCTTGTACTTGCTTTTCTCTCTAACTACTATATATCTTGGGGTTCTTTGTATGCAGACAAATACTCCAATGACTGTAAAAAAAGTTTGTTTAATTATTTACTTTACTTCTACACGCTTGTCTTATTCCCTTACAAAATGGGTGTCTGTACCAAAATATGGAAAAATGGCTGTCGGATATTCCATAGATAAGGGAGTTGGAAGTATTCGTAATCGATTCGCCATGATAGACTATCTATAATTTATATAGAGATTCTATCATGATAGTTTATTTTTGTCTCTTGTGATTGGCTTATCTATGGATATCTGACGGTTATTTTTCCGTATTTTGAGCATAGACAGACAGACAACCATTGGACTAATGGTATCAGGACTGAAATTCATTGCATGAAAATTTTAGATTTAGATAAGCTTCTAATAACATTTCATTTCTCTATATTTCTTTTTTATGCTCACGCGCAGCAACTGAGATCTCTGATGAAGGCGCTACTAACTGACTATGTTGGCGATTCATCGAGAGGCGCCCTCATCGAAGATCGCAGTTGTTGCGCGTGAGCATAACAAAGAAATATAGGAAAATGAATTATTAGAAGCTTATTTAAATCTAAAATTTTCATCCAACGAATTTCAGGTCGAATTTTGAATATTCTATATGTTTTAATAACACTATAGCGGATACACTTAGTCGTCAGTCCTCATACCATAAAGCGAGGGGGAAAAAGCAGCTCTAGAGTTACGCTGGCACCAAGTGGTTCCACATAAGTTCTGTCTGAGTTCCACTCAGCTCCGCATGAGTTCGGGAGGGTTTTTTGCAAGGGGGGAAAAGCAGCTCACAGCTTTGGTGGTACCAAGTGGCTCCACATGGGTTCCAATGAGCTCTCACCCTTCGGAACACTTTGAAGCTCAGTGTAACTGAATGGAACTGATTGAAGCTCATTGGAACTTATTGGAGCTGAGTGGAGCATTGAAACTGATTGAAGCTCAGTGGAATTCACGGGCACTGAGTGGAACTCCTTGGAGCTGAACTGAACTCATTTGGAGCCACTTGGTACCACCGGAGCTGGCAACAGCTTCACAGGGTTCCACTAGGTTCCGCCGGGTTTCACTAGGCTCCTGGTGGCACCAGGAACTGCTTTTGCCCCCTCGATCTTAACCCAAAATTACTGAGAAATGTTGTGAATTTCTCTGACTCTATGGAGAAAGCGCACAATGTATTGTAAAACTAAAAAATTTTGTGAACACCCTCTGAAGATCCCACGGCGACTAATAGTATTTTTCATCGATTCTCTTCGATAGATTACCTATATTCTATAAGTTTTATTATCCGTAAACGACTTTTTTTGTATTAGCAAATTTAGTCTAATGTCTGGCGACATCTGTCTCTGAACTACAGGAAAAACTTTGCTTAGCTTTTTTCTCTCTGCATCAGTAAACATTATTTAAGCTATCTTTTTAAATATTTCTTTCTTTTGTGTAAAAAAACAATTTTCCGATTTTCTCTTTTGTGATTGGCTTAGTTTACTGAATATCTGATAGTCATTTTTTCGTATTTTGGGCACAGACGCACATATACAGAGAACCATTTTGTAAGACCCTTGCCTAAAGTCAAGGGAATTGTTTAGTATCATCAGCAGTCGTACCAAGCCAGACAATAAGCCACCCCCAAACCTGTCCTCAAATTATGCAGTTTGTAAAGTGCGTTGAGTAATATGTATCTTCAAGACATTTCGGCCATTCTATGAATATTAGTGAAATTATGAATTTTTTAACGTTGGATTTTGGTCAAAATTTTCGATTTTTCGGAAGTCATGCACGAATAATGACAAAAATTTGGTTCAAGTGTGTTTAGATGCACAACTCTTTATAGTTATTATGTATGTAAAAAATGAAGAAAAAATTTCTATCAGTAGACTATTTATAAATTTTTTCTCTAAAATTGATGCCAGTTCACTGCAGTCTGGTCATTTGCATTCTTTTTATCTTCAACCTCGTTTGCTCAAATATAACGAATAATATATCATTTAAATTAGCTTCTCAAGCGCTACAAAATCTTGTATTTTGACTTTTAATTCGTCATGGATGTAGGGAATTTTCTAGATTTTTTCATTGCGGTTTTCAGCATTGCATAGAGGAGATAATTGGCTACAATTTGACATAAAAATACCTCAGAAAATACCTCTTGCAGTTGATATACCTTATTAGTCTTTAAAAGAGTAGGTCATGATTCCAAAATCTACTAGAGTGATCCCTATGTTGTTCATATAGATATGATAGCCTAAACTGTTCTCTACAGAATGGGAACTAAGTGACTTCTTGATCTTTCGTGTTTTAGGCGCGGCATCCGATTTTCTCGAAGCCGCAGGATCGATATGCCCTTAGATGTAATAATTTCAAAAATGAATGAAACCATCGGTTATCTATCACGCTGAGTCTCGTGGCAATGTTTGTTTTCGAAACAAATCGAAAAACCTAGTGAAAAGCTATATTAGGTGAAATGGCTCTTGCATGGAAATTCAATATTTTTCATTACCTCGTACGCGAACTTGTGCAAGAATTTTCAAAACTACAAAACGTTTTGAAAAAAAACTTTTGCTGACAAAGTTGTTCAAGATAATCCTCTTCATACCATAAGCGGAGCACTTTTTTCATTTTAGTGGAAAATTTTGAAATAAATGCAGTTTACGTAAATTTTAAGTAAATTTAAAGCACAAAATTTTTTATTTGTGATTTATTTAGAAATTTTCCCACTACAATGAAAAAAGTGCGTTGCTTACTGAAGCAGATTATCTTGAATAATTTTGCCACAAAATGCTTCGTTTTTGTGAAAATGTGTGTATAATTTTCAAAAAAATTATGTTAACAGTTCAAACTGCCATAGAATGAAAAATGTTAATTTTCTCAGATACAGTTGTTTCGATTTCGTTATAAGTTATGGGTATATGTCACTTAATGTGCGCTGTCGAACTGCGTAAAAATAAGAGTTCTAGTCTTAATTTTTGAACTTTTTATAAATTTTTTAAATAGAGGATCAAAATCGTATGAAGTTCGTAAAAGTTTCTTCAGCAATTACAAGTCTGTTCATCGAAAACACTTCAGGATATATACAGCTTGATGCGCTGTACAAGTTATAAAAAAACGGGAGTAGTCACACACATACCCCTTTAACATGAATGATTTTGTTCTCTTTTAAGCATAAAATATTCTGTATGAAAATTTATTTTCGTTTTGATACTTTGTATAGGAATCATGTTAGAAAACAATTAGGAGAAGAAGACAAACTCTAATAAATGTTTTTGTTGTATGCTTTATCTATTAATAAGTAGAAATAAAAGACAGTACAAAAAGAAAAGCGGTATGAACCAACAATATCATTTTTGGCTGTTTTGATGATGTTACATGTATGTAAAAAGAAATAAAAAACAAAGATTACAAAGGAAAAAGCAGAAGAAAGAAAAAGAAGAAAGAGACAGATGTATTGGTAGAAATAGGGTTGGTACTGAGACTGAGAAGTAGTACAGATGGAATCAGAAACGTTTAATATTTTTGATATATTCAATAATTAGTTTATACAGCTTATCATTAGTGACTTTTGAATCATCAATGTGTTCAAATTTGTCCAAAAACAGGATATTGTCTAGTTAAAAGATAACTATCATGTAGGTAACAGTACTCAAATGTAAGCGAACTTAGCTTCGCTTGCTCACTGTATCCTGACAATTTTTGTCTAATAAATTGAATTGAATTGAATCTACGTTAATATTTATCTCTCGTTCTCAACTGTCAACGTGCCATTACTTTTCTTATCATTTCAAGATTAAACAATTACATCAAAGATATAACTGATGAGAAAAGGCGGTTAAAGCAGCTCCTCCTCCTCTCTCTTTTGATCCGAGATCAACAACATCCGAGAAAAACAAATGAGAAATTTTTTCACACGACGATGCGATGAATTATCCCGGCGACCAAATGGTCATGCGATGAATTGTTCGTAACAAAAAGGTCTGCAACGCAAATACCGATGACAAGTTGTCCTCGACGAATTGACCTAGCACCGATTTTATGAATACTCACGAGAAACGTACCTACAGTTTTTGAATTTCGAATGTGTATTCTACAATGCGTGTTCTACATTCTTTTGTAAAAAATATAATTGGACTTACAGGAGTTCTTTTTCTCTGCAAAATGAGATATCAAGCAAGTTTCTGCGATGTTCTACCAAAATAAACCACAGAAAACACGATGTGGATCGAAAATTCAGTAGGAAAGCGCAAGTTTCTTAAGACTGAGTAAGAGCAATATTATAAACCCTGAAATTCGGTTGCCCAGTATCGTAGAAACTTGGTTGGCATCTCAATTTGCAGAGAATTAAACGGGCTATCCAATTGAGCGGTTGAAAAACTTTCGGAATGAACTTCATAGGTCGTTGCAATTTGTAGAAAACACGATTTTTCAAAAAAAATTTCTAAGGACCCAGGTGTGTTGCATAATTTTTCGGCATTGAAATATAATTCTGAATATGTTATTGATTTTGATTAAGAACATAAAGAAAATGATAAAAGTTAAAAAACGGCAAAAATGCGGATGCTCTGAACAGCACGTAGCCAGGATTTTACCTAAAGAAAAAACCTTTTTTTGTCGCAAACTCCGATCGCAAAGTTTTTTTGTTAGAAACTCATCATTTGGGTCCAATATCATCCTCCA